TTTTTGAGTTTGTTTTTTTTTTTTTTTTTTTTTTTTTTTTTTTCATAACCTGAAGCACATTTGAGAAAACATATCATAAGCCTGTTACTCAATTTCACGTGGGTGTTTCTTCCTCTTTCTCTTTATCTTCTGGAGGGTGATGCAGGACCCACCGCTGGAGAGATGTTATCAGGGGATCTTTCTTCTCATTAGGATCAATTGGTTCCTGTGATGGCACAGTAGATATGGTGTCCCAGTCTATCTTGCTTCGTTCTTCTAAGTCCATAAAGACTGCGACATTTACTTTCGCTAATGCTTGGGCTCGTTTCTGTAAAATAATTGAGTTGTTAGTGGTCATGTGGCACCTTAGCTTACATGTATATTATGTTGCGAAGCCAACGTAAACTTGTCTATTTTCCATGTATATGCGACAAAATTACTGCTTATGAATAATCCAGTACGTTTGGGTTTTCATTCATACACTATGAATATTGTTTAGGCGTTTCAAATGAAGGTGTTTGATTTATCTTTCCAAGTCTCTTCATGAATAATCATTGTGCTGAGCCTGACAGCCCTATACATCATTGCTCATTCCGTGTTATACAGTGTATGATTCTCATGATCATCTGACAAGACGATGTTGAGTGAGGGGAGGTACCCATCGCCTAATACATTTCTTTTTTCTGAGGGCGAATAACATATATATATCCAGACAAACACTTAAGTCTGTGTTAACAAGGGGGTATGTTTAATATTTTGAAATTAAGATTGAATTGAGTATAACTGTATGGATCTCCCACCTCTCTTAACTGAATATAGCCAGACCCTGTTTCGTAGCGTAAGGGTGGAAAGTAAGCGGACTTGAATCGTTAAATACTATGTTATAATATACAGGGTGTTATGTGTCTATTACCTTGGCTTCACTCTCATATTCTGTTATCTCATACTCTTCGTACAGCTCTTCGTACAGATATTGGTGCCATGTGAACCGGCTACAACTTCTCTGGACTAAGAATCCTTTAAAATACAGAAAAAATACAAAATATTGAGAAAATCGCATTGTACAGGGCAGTCATGCAATGCTGTGACCTCTCCTTGGGGACCAAGCGACCAGCGGCCAGGTGAGATCATACTGCCAAATAGACAATATTCAAGAGAATATTGTCTATTCTGAAAACCAGGACCACTTTAATTTTTAACTTAAAAAAATTAAATTACAAATTATGTACCTAATTTTGTTGTCATAACAAATTATAATTGTGCATTTAGGTAAATGTAAAAGATAAAAGATACAGTGGAATATATTACATTCGCAATAATATCTCTCCTTTACCTGTCAGAGCTGTTGCCACCCCGCCTACAAGAATACACCACGAAATCATCTGGGACTCGGATTTCAGAGCTTCATGCTTTAATAGTTCGGTAGCATTTTTTGAACAGGGAAATTGATGTTTAGCACACGAATAATAGCTAAAATGAAAAAGCGACAATTGTGCTTTAGATGAATATACAAAAGTGAAGCATTGCCTCTTGATTATTTATTTTATTTTATTTTTATTTATTTTTATTATTTTTATTATTTATTTGTTTATTTATTTATTTATTATTTTTTGTTTTTGTTTTTGCGTATCAGACAATTCTTTGAAAAAGTAAAGGTGGGTCATTTATATAGGGGTCATTGAGCATTAATAATATGAATTTGTAATGCAATATTGTACTGGTCTCTACAAGCTGTAATTAAGAAAAATCCCAAAGAAAAGAAAAACACTGTTTCGGCAGCAAACCCAAAAGTGTTTTAACGAAGAGGATGAGACGAAACTTTACAACCTGTTATCATTATTTTTCGTAGCATCATTATTATCCGTTGCAATTTATCCTTCAATATTAATGTACGTCTAAATTGTATCGCCTTTAAACTGGCATAATCTAAAGAAATCTATATACTCAAACTCAAGGGAATATCCAATCAATACAAGTCACAAGAAACACATGTACACTGCAGTATTGTGGCTATATCAATTAATACCACTTACTCACGAGGGCAAGTACCAGTTTCATATTCATATTTTTTCTTAAAAGAGGGAGAGAGGTAGTGAGAGGGAAGAGAAGAAGAGTCAAGAAGAAAGAGAGAGTAATGTAGAATATAGAATATGAGACATTAATTAAGAAATAACAATAATAATAATAATACCTTCCATCTAAAAAACCCACAAACAGCCAAGCAGAGGGCGCCACACACGCTTGACTAATGACACCCCACACTAGATAGCACTTGTCTGCACCCTTAGATGGCACCGTGGTTTTGCAGCACCCCGTAATAAGGCGAGTGAGAGCACGACTTAACACAAGACCTGTTATAAAAGAGTAAAACGACAATGAAATAAAGCCCCTTTTTTACGGGTCTTTTATGATTTGATGGAGACAAGACACAGGTGTGGTCGACCATTAAACAACAGCAGCACCATCTACTAGTACTAGTACTAGTACTAGTACTTCTCCCTCAGTGTGTAACTTAGCAAAAATATTCAAATGACGACTAAATCACTGATGCTATTGTCATTGACACAGTGCCTTGAGAATCTATTATATTTAATTGCAAAATGTTCCGCAAAGTGCCCCTCCCCAACAGCACTGTGTAATTCACAAAAACATCAAGTCCCAGACTATATCCACGCCAGAAGTTAGAAATAATCCACGCCCTCTAGAATAACTCAAATCTACCTGATATTTTCAGTTTCTTTTCATTAACTCTTCGTGGTAGTCCTTACCTATGGTCAAAAGACCGAGTGCCGGCGCGGCCAGAAACAGGCTGCCATAGACGACGTTTTGCGGCCATACACAAGGACACTGGAACACGACCACCTTGAAGATCTCCTGACCACCAAATGTGATAAGAATCACCACTATGTTGAATAAGGAGGTCCCGTTTTCCTTTATGATACCTGTCAACTTACCAAAACTACCTGGCAGCGACGACATATTTCTTTCTTTTCACAAGGTATTGGACTGGCATGACCTTATTTCTCGTTCATATGTATAAACATTAACAATACCACATGCGTCTGCGCTAAAATGTCGCACAATACAAATACGCTGTATATTGATCCGAAATCTCACCGCTTCTAGCGAGAATGCACATTAACATAACTAGTAACTTAGATTATCTGTTTGGTATATAGAACATTCATTCATATGGGCAAATTGAGAAGATTTTGTGAATATACCTATGCAGAGTGTGTGCAAATTTCATTTTAAGACGAGAGGGAGAACAACTGTTTGTATGAGATTTACATTTCACAATAAAAACACTGTAAACAACTCATAGAAACATAATGAATTCCATTTTACCACCAAAACAGAGGTTATCGCAATTATTTTGGAATCTGTGCTTGTCATCAGACCTCGGTGACCTTCACAGATGACTATACCTCCGTAATACAATGTAATCTCTTAATAGATTATTACAAAAATAAAACTTTTTAGAAAAAACATGGACTAACTTTGAATGTCAGAATGGATTCATTCACCATTGGTAAGTATGGGAAAAACGTCGTTTATCCCAGAAAAATCCCTTTTTTGCCAAAACGAACATTTTTTCCTTTTAATTCGATACTCAAGAATATGGAGTTTTTAAAAGTGTAAAAAATCTGTGTCATGGATGCATGAATTGTTTAATACATGCAGGTTGGTTACATAAGCATTAAGTCGTATAACTCATGATATAAAAAATGGGGGAAATGTTTGTTTTGTTTAACCAAATTAATATTGTCTCTGGGTTCCCCAAACCGAGGTGTATGGCACGTTCAAAGATTAAAGTGATACTAACTGTTCGTTTTGGCCAAAAAATGAATTTTCCTGGAGTAAACAACAATTTTCCCATACTTTTCCCATACCAATGGTTAACGAATCCATTTCTACATTCAAATTTAGTCCCTTTTTTTTTTTTTTTNGCGGCTGTATCCCATACATGTGCTCTTTTTTTTTTTCTTTTTTTTTTTTTAGTTATTAAATCTAATGAGATTTGTGACGGGGGCTTTTACGGGTGATAAAAGTGCGTCACTGTATAGCTACGAACAACTACCTTTTCCGGTTGAAGGAATTTTATTTTGCTCATACGGACTACATCAAAATGAAGATGTGACCACGAAGTCCCCTGCTCTGTTCTCCCTCAGTCTCTCCTTTCTATGGTTCTATTTTCCCAACACACTGAATGCGGCAAAACGCTGCATTCTATAATAAAATCAGGTGGTTCACATTTCACGTCATGGATAGAAGTTTTGATTCAACATTTACTTAATTATTAGAAATACTTATTCTTGACCTTCGACTTAAACATTGTGATTTGATTATTAATATTTAATTTTGACTGAACCGGAACTGGTCATTTTCCAAGGTCTAGCGAAGGGGTTATTTAATACTAATATACGACATCGAGAGATAATCAATTACATTTTTCTATGTGCAACCGCTGTAGCTCTGTCCAATTTACTTGCAATTAAATCGACGCGATTGCTGACCACTAGAGGTCATTAACTACGGTACACTGGTTATTCGCTGGATAATTTAGTACTTGAGATCGGAAGTTATTATGTTTGGTAAGTGCTTGAACGTGTTATCAGACTTTTTTGTTTCCGAAATCTTATTGAAACTGGTGAATTTTAACTGTTTTAAAATTCAAACTAAATTCTTACTAAAATTTGTAACACTACCGTGTTATATAACCTTCCGTCCTCGAAGAATTTGGCTCCATCCAAATCAATAATAGGCGTGTCTGGTTTGGGAGGGGGGCATATTTGCAAATTTGTAGAAAAATCAATGGGGGTGGGGGAAATCAAGAAAGAGAAAATAATAATGATAATAATAGTCCATTGAATTGGAGGCAAAATTAGTCCGTTGTGTACTCAGTTCTATTTCAGTCAAGGTTAGGCAGATCTTCGTCCTCCATCCCTGCTGGAATGAGTCTGGCATCTTGCGGGATGGGTTCATAAAGGTCATCTTCTGAGGCCGATTCCTCATCGGCTCCTACTGGGTGTTTATAAGGGACTAGAGGTGTATTGTCCTCGGCATCCCAGTCAGAGTCCGATGAGTAAACTAATCTTTGGGCGCTTCTTCTGGGTGTCTGGTGTGGGGCGTCCTGCCTTGCGAGGGACATCAGAGTTTCACTGGTGACATCCCGAATTATATCAGCATATCGGGCTTGTCTCTGCGAAGGATGGGTGTCACGTTGGTAAATGTGTACTGACAAGTCCTGGGCAAAAGTTGTGGCCTTGTGTAGCTGCTCCTGAATGTCTGGATCGGTAGTGGAACAGCACACGTGGATTTGGGTCCTTTGGCCTAGTATCGGGGCACTCATGTTCTGTTTGAAGATGAACAGGAGGCTCAAAAGTTCACCTACAGCTTTTTCCGGTTTAGGTGGACAGTCCCTTCCTAGGAATTGGGCTGTCGTCTGGGGCATCCAGTCATCTATGATGATTAGGTTGGGCTGTCTCTGGCGCACCAGGTCAACAAGATCTGCCAGGTTTTCCGTGTTGACTAAGGTGGTCATGGGGCGATACCTAACTAGTTCTGCGCCTTCAAAATCTCTATCCTGGTTTGTTTCAGTGTCAATGTAATGAAGCATATGCTTCAGCATGGCGGCTGCCAATATTAATACTTCCATGATGATGATGTCTTGTGTCAATGGTATATCGGCTAGAGATGAATGATCTGTGCTGGTAGAAGTTGGGGTTTTATGCCCAAAAAATTTGAGGACAGGACAAAGGCACTTCACAAAATAATCCGAGGAAGCCGTTTATGGTTTTCTAATAGTCCTTGAATACATGTAAGTCCTTTTTGGTTGATATAGGCTACAGCCATGGGAGGGGGATTTTGTCATCATTTCAATTAACAGGAGTGAAAGACAAAACAATAATTGGGAGATTGGGATGGAATTAAATAGGAGGCCCTTTTGAGAGAACACCTGTACACTTGTGAAGTCCAAGTTACATCGAAATGTGCGAAGACAAAATCTTAGTTAAAATGATACTGAGAATGTGACGATAATAAACAAGCAAATCAATCAATGCAGGTACTGCCGACATTACGTATTACTATTTTATCAATATTAATAAACTGGAAGTACAACAACTTTAGTAAGATATAAGGTATCACTTAGATATAAAGTGAATAAACTGGTCATTAAGTAAAATAATTGAATATGTTTTTCAACATTTGTCTTCTGATCCAAGTTGACTGCAGTGCATGTACAGCTGTCACGTTACTAAGTGTGTGCGTCAAACTCTGATAGAAACTAGCGTGGATATCTAAACATTTGCAAATACAATATTAATAATAAAAAATGTCTAACTAATTAATCTTCTCAATAAGAGAAGTCCTTAATCATTAGTCCTAAATGCGGTTGTGTGCATATGCATTCTTGTTGCGTTTAACATGGTTCAAGACGTATGGCAACCTTCAAGTGTTAAATAGCCAACAGTACGTGATTGGGGTAGTGTGGAGATGTCCAAACATAGGACGGGGAAATGTTTCTAGATTTATTGTAAAATAAAATAAAAAGTATGAACAGCAAGAGAAAAACCGTAGAACCTTCGATACAATATGCTATGATTGAATCAAGAAAAGTGGTTGTCAATGAAAGGGATTGGGGTGTGGGAATTTGAATGATGTTAAAATCTCTAACAGAAACAATGTTTTGTAGGGATATGAAAAGCAATTATACTTGACGGAGTTTGTGCCATAAGATTGCGCTTGTTAGGAGGGAGACACCTGATTTACCAATGGCGGTATAAGTTAAGATGTTGGAATCTGTTAAGAAATCAGGGGCTGTATCTAATATGGTATCAGTGACGGAGTGATATACTGGTTTATTTTGCTTTATATGTGGGAATAAAATTAACTAACTAGCTAATAACTTTTCCTCAACCTAATTCATCTAGTTGGCCTAAAATATATCCTAATGCGTGACCTGATGCGTCGGTCGTCAAAATAAAAGGTTTGGACATATCTAGGAATGACAAAATGGGAGGTGTCACTAGTGCATTTTTGAGAGTTTGAAAGGCCTGTTCACAATCTGTGGACCATTGAAAGTTCTTATCTTTGTGCAATAATTCATTGAGTGGTTTTGCAGTTGCGCTTTTATGAAACGTCTGTACCAATTGCAGAGTCCTAAGAAACTGCGTACTTGATTAACATTTTTGGGTATTGGAAATGTTCGAACCGCTTCTGTTTTTAAGGGGTCAACTTCTATGCCTTGTTTGGACAAAAAATGACTGAGATAAAGTACTTTTGGAACAGCAAATGTGCATTTTGAAGGTTTCAACTCGAAATTTGCCTGTCGTAAAATGTGGAAGACGTTCTGTAGATGTGTTAAATGTTCCTCAGATGTTTTGGAATACGTCAAGATGTCATCAACATAAATTATGACTGATTTCCAATTCATGTTTCGAAATAAATTGCTCAATAGATACATGTACGTCCTGGAAGGATTTTTCAGACCCAAACTAAGTCTTTTGAATTGATATTGTCCAATGTGTGTGACAAAAGCAGATTTTTCTTTTGAATCATCATATAGTCCTACTGTCCAAAAAGCTGTATTTATGTCGGCTAGTGAAAAATATAACGCTTTGGAGTCAGCTATGGAAGCAAATATGTCTTCCAGACGTGGTAAAGGAAACGTCATGGTTTTGGTGACTGTATTTAATTTACGATAATCAATCGCGAATCTAAAATCACCTTTTTTCTTTTTTGACAAGTACAACTGGACTACTCCAGGGTGATGTGGAGGGTTTTATAATGTCGTGACGTAACATTTCCTCAATCTGACGATCAATTTCGGCTTTTGACTTCGGATTTGTGCGATAAAAACGCTGTGCAATTGGAGGGTGTCAATTTGTTTCAATAGTTTGTTTGTAAACAGGAATATGGCCAATTTCTGATAGATCGGAAGCAAAAATGTCTCTGTTGCTACCAATGAGAGATAACAATCTGTCTTTTTGTTTGTCGTCGAGGTGAGTCAGGTCAAAAGGTATGCCTAGAGAGAGTGCTGTTTCTTTATCATTTGCATCGACTGGTTTTATTGGAGGGGGTAGGGATTTGTCGAAGTCAATATGACTAATCATATTTGCGTTTTCGTGGTATGGTAATGGCGTTAGGTGTAACATTTGCCACGCGATAATAACAATATCGAGAATATAATATATTGACTGCAGACGCACCGAGTAAAGTCTGGACATTGTTTACCACTTCCAATAAAACAGTGGTGGGTTGTTTTTGTATGACGTGACTACGGGATACATGGACACTCACTAATTTTTCACAGTGTGGCTCTATTGTAACAGAAGATGTAGATTGGGCAAGGCCAAGTTGATTGGACATTAATAAACACACTTTGATATCGGGATTTTTGATAGCCATACTATGATCAGACAGATTGAGAATGGCAACGTTTGTGAAGAAAATCTAGACTTAGAATGACAGGGCGGGGTAATTTTGGAAATACATGGAAATTGTGCACAAAGTTTGCTTTACCGATTCTAAAATTGACGTTGATAGTTCCCAATATATGGAGAGGTTCATTTTTGACACTTTCTATCGTTTTTAGACTGTTGGATCGGTTGATGTGAGAATCCGGAATTTCTCAATTTTGTAACTTTTGCTTTGAAATATATGAAATAGAAGCACCGGTATCTACGAGTGTATCAAGCTTTTTGTTTTTCACAGAAATGAAAATGAAATTTTGAATGGGCTGATGTGATGCTACTACAACAGACTTACTTTGATCTTGTGTTTTTGGTTGACATTGTTTTCTACTTGAGCGACAAACTCTCGCTAAATGTCCTATTTTGCCACAAGTACGAAAATTCATTTTTAAATCAGGGCAGAGATGACAAAAAAATGTAACATACCACAGCCATTGCATGGAGGGATGTCTCCTCTTCCTCTGTTGTTCTGCTGGTTTCCTGAGGGCCTGGGTCGAATGACAGGATTGTCGCGTACTGGGGTGGTGCGTTGAAATCTTGGCTGCATGTTGGGCGTGTCGTCTAAGCGGACGATACTGCCATCGCTGTTGGTTTCTGGCGTATTGGTAGCGAGTGTTGGGCGGTGATCGCGGTTGAAAATCGGCGGCCGTAGGGTTTCTACCTGGGTGTTGTATCGGAGTGATTGGTGCTGGATTCACAGCAGATACGGCCAGTTGTGAGACCTGCGTTTTGATTTCGGATAGTATGTATTCAGCGCATTGATAGATGCAGACGATGTGGTGGGTTGTACTGCAGTTTCTGAATGTCTGGCGCGCGCTATGAGATCCTCGAAATTGTGACGTTCGTGTTGTGCTGCGACCATGTAGAATAGCCTGCATGGCAATTTTACTCTCGCGGCTTCGCGTCTCATTTCCGCTATATAATCTTGCACTGGCTGAGCATGTTTTGGCGGCGTTGAAATAAATTGGACACAGTAGCCCATTTTGAACTCTCGGTGGGTTGAAATCGTGCGCGGAATGCATTTTCTATAGCATTTATGTTCTGACGCTGATCATCGGTAAGTGTGTCGAACCAGTCTAAGGCTGCACCTCGCAATAGTAACGGAAAAGAGGCTATTTGTTGTCCTTCTGTCATACTAATATGCGACATCGAGAGATAATCAATTACATTTTTCTATGTGCGACCGCTGTAACTCTGTCCAATTTACTTGCAATTAAATCGACGCGATTGCTGATTGGTCATAAATTGCGGTACACTGGTTATTCGCTGGATAATTTAGTACTTGAGATCGGAAGGTTATTATGTTTGGTCAGTGCTTGAACGTGTAATCAGACTTTTGTTGTTTCCGAAATCTTATTGTAACTGTTGAATTTAAACTGTTTTAAAACTTAAACAAAAATCTTACTAAAATTTGTAACACTACTGTGTCATAGATTATTACAGAGTATAGCCATCTATGGAGGTCACGTGGTCTGATGACAAGCTCAGATATCAGAATAATAGCTATAACTGCCGTTTTTGTGGTGTTCAAAACAGAATATTTTATATTCCTATGAGTTGTTTACAATGTTTTTATTGTGAAATATAGATCTCATACAAAGAATTACTATCCTTTTAAGTTGTCGGGTCATTTTAGACCGGCGGATCCAGGTTTTTGCAATACCAAGGGTCATTTGGAGTCTGGAGTGGGTACTATGGGTTGCCGTTAGGGGTAAGCGGGGGTAGCCCATTAGGGGCGGTCTTTATGTTGAAGAAGAAGAAGTCTATGGTGTAGTAGGTGGGCTATGGGGTTACACAAAGTGGGCAGTTGAAATATTCATGTGTTTGTTTAGTTTCTGTCGACAAATGCGCAAATAAATGAAACATTGATAAAGATAGTGAATCAATAGCTGGAGGTTGGCAAGTCAAGTCTCCCTAAGAGTGTCTTTGATATTGTACAAAAATTTTATCTAAAAAGGGAATTGAAATGCGTCTATTAAATTCTTTAATCATAAATATCATATTCAAGAATTTAGTTTATATGTAGACTATAATACGCTGCAATGATGTGTAAATGAGAATAACTAAATCCGTATGAAAACAAGTGTTACTTATGTATCACGTAGACTACAATTCTTTTCAGTGCGTGTGAGTGGTGCTTCTCCCCTGCAGCAATGCACCTTTATCACAATCTCTTCTGAAGTTCATGCGATAATCTTACAATAAGGGCCCCTTTACACTGGACGGCGTCCTTTCTGCGTCCAGCAGTACGGCCCCATTTGAGAGTTAAAAAATTATAATACTTTACGTGCCGACAACTGGCCGATCATTGAGCATTCATTCTGATACAAAATCAATGCTCGTGCCTCCTTATTACGACCACAGCGATGCCAAATTTCATGGTCGCAGAAAGGACGCAGAAAGAACGCCGTCCAGTGTAAAGGGGGTATAAGTAAAAGAGGAATTGAAACCGTCCATTTTCTTTATCAAATCAACAAACTACATGACATTTAAGTTATACAATAGAAGTAGAAAAAATGCCAAATACCAAATTGAGTGAATAAGTATGTACGCTACTGATTTCGTTGGTGAGTCGATGACTTGCATTGCTTTAATTTTAATAATGAAAAAGTATATCTGGGAGTGCCATAAAAATCGGAAAACAAGATAGAAAATTATATGTTCAAGAAAATTCAGTTGTTTTTATTAATGTATTTAAGTTTTTGTAAGCACTTAGCACAAAAAGTATAATTTGACAGAATCTTCAGAGGTCAAGAATAACTGAAATTTTACAACTGTGTTAAAACCTAGTCAGAATGTCTAATAGCATTAAATGATAACGACATCCCGTCCGATAAAATCATATTTTAGCGCATAAATTTCAGAAGGTATTGTCAAAAGATGTAGAGAAACAGCTTATAAAATTGTTTTTTTATTTTCCACATCAGCAGACATTAGCTTTTTGTCACTAATGCCATCATCGGCAGTTTACCTATTGTTTAATTTATGGCAAGTGTATCCCACATCAAGGCAAACTACTTTTTTGACCTCTGGCCGGACCACTTCTCATAAAAGGCAATCAATTTTATGACCCCTCATTTTCGTCATTTTGCGCAGTGACTCGAACCGTCACAAACTGAGTCATGAGACAAAAGGTGAACGTGTGACAGGTCGCGGACTCCCCCTCACCTGTTACGATGGTACTCCTTCCGGTCTCCTTTGGGCGGTCCCCATAAACCCATGTTTACGGGGTTTGTTGAGAAAATATGGGAAATCTTCAGCTAGAGTGGAGTAGGTACTGAACAAATGTAGTATAATAATTGACCTATCACGAATCAATACCTTACCTACACCGGAGTCTTGAAATTAATCGAACAGGAGTGAAACAGTAACCACTGCTAGCGGACGAAGGGTAGGTTCACGTGTCCGTGTGTTATATTTTGATATTTGATATTGTTACCTTGAACCACAGGGCTGTGAAAAGTCGGAATATGTATTAGACCCATGATTTATTTTGCTTAAATCTGTTTTCATGTGAGTAAGAAACATCAATTTATTGGATTTCTGTGTTGTTTCGACCTATATTAGTAGTGAGGATAGGGATTGTGTTAAAACGATAAAGAAACATTGATGGTGCAACAAATAGTACACCAAGGCGCAATTCCAATATAAGAAAGTAGTAAGTAAAGCGCTAGATTAGAACAAAATGACGGTTACTACATGCATAACAGTAGCATATTGTGTTAGAACATATTTTATGTATTACCCAGATTATCTTAACAATTGTGTATTTTAATACTTAAAAGTATATTGAATAAAAACACTTTTTGCTTTTCAACCATTAGGCTATAAGCAATGGAGTTCGGCCAAATCACTATCGTAATTTTTACTCAGATATATTTGTGGACACAAATAAAAGGTAGGTCAAATGAACCTCATGATACATTGTCCAATGTGTTGAGGATTTCGTAAATTTTGTTGAAGTGAAATGTAATGTTGGTCTATGTAATATGCGGCGTCACTAGCCGTGGTGGCTTGTGCCCCTAAGGCAACGGGTTCAGGGGGGTTATAAACCTTGGAAATGGTGACAGCCTCGTGGTGGCATAGTGCTTTAATCTCGTACAGCCCATATATCAAACAGTTTCTCTAATGAGTTGATGAAAATCGCTTCCACTAAGATGAACACTTTATATGTTGAGGAAATTCACGACAAAGGTGGAATGACTATGATATTAATGGATAAAATATTATAAATGATGCATATGAAGTAGTGGGCCTACATTGTACTTTAAAAACAAGTGTTATAATACAAAATATTAGAACTATTTCGTTTAAACACAAAGACCCATTTGCTTATATTTGATACGTTTAAACAAGTTTTTATCATCAAATCGCCAGGCTCCATAGTGACGGTAGGTGACACTAACATTCAGTCTGGGGATTCCTGGGCAGCCCCTAGACAAACTCGTATTTGTGCTGGATACATCATCCCCTCATCCGGGTATGTATCCAGTTTCCAAGCCTATGTGACTAGGGCTGGAGGGACCATACTGTTACAGGTATGGAGGCATGCCGGAGAGACCAAGTACTTCCTTGTAGGACAGCAGCCACTTGTTCCAAATGGACCTGGACTGAACTCTATAGCGGTGAGAACATCTCCTAGACTGTTACATAAAAATGCTGATTTGCAAAGTGAGGCGTGCAGTGATTCTCTAAATAACAGACCCTTTATTGTATGAACAAAATTTTTACTTAATGAATATTTTTTAAGACAGAAGAATGAATTTAATACCCTGTTCTTCCACTGCAATCATGCTTTCCTTTTCTCTTTTTATTGTAAAACCATAAGTATTGCACACTAAAAGATTATTTCATGCGTTGCTTTAATTTTTCAGATACCGCCAGGAATCCTGTTAGTCGAAAAAGGAGATCTGCTTGGATTTACAAATACTTTGGAGAATGTTACTTTATCCAGGAGAACCGTCGACGAAGTTTATCCTCTCCATATATACGATTACGTGTCCCTGAACGATGGAAACCCTCCCTCCGTTTCCTCATCGCCGCTCACGTTTGTGCAGTCCCAAGAAATAGGTTACAGATACGCCGTCCAAGCCTCTGTGGAAGTTCGTAAGTTGTCGTGGTGTCATCCAATGAATAAATTCTGTTGTATTATTATCCTTTTCCGCCAAAAGAATGGAAATATCAAGTAACATATTTCAGTAAATTATTTTTAAATGACCTCTTCGTATGTCTTCTAAACCATGCCAATTTCTTTCATTTAGCCGACATGACGAACTTGCCTTCAAATACAGATCCACCTAGCCCACCTCAAACGTCAACAATCGTGCCATCCATAACCCCTGGCTTTGAAACCATAAGAAAAAACGGCAATATTCTCAAGAACACCAATCTTTTAGTACGTGGTGGGGGTAGACGATTATTTCTGGACACGTCACTCAAATTCTCTAAAGGTGTGGTCACTGGGTTTCACGTTTTCTTCAAGACTGCTAGCAATGTTCATATTCAAATATGGCGGCCACTTTGGATGGCTCAATACAATCAAATGATTTACCAGCTAATCGCCAGCAAAAAGTTGCAGCCTCCTAGTGTGGTTCCTAGCATTATGAATGTAAGTATTGTTCATAGGTAGAGGACGAAAATGCTCCTTTTATAGCTCCCAAATTCATGAATATTCATTTGAATGGCTACAGCCGTGGTTTAGTCAAATAAAGATTCCACTACGAATGGAATTTTGTTAGTTAATATGATACAAAATAGCCAGTCATACAGGGTATTTATGTTCCCCTAGAAAATTCTGTGGAATACCCCTTCATTCCTTTTCCTTCTCTAAGCAAGGTAAACGGATGGCGAATAACTTAACATTTGTGCTTTAAAACTTTTTACAAATAGTTCATTACTAAACCACTAAAATACATCTGCCAGTTCGGATACTACAACTAGCATTTTAAATTAGGTTAACCTGAATGAAACTGACTACATTGCCGTGGAAACTAATGACGTCCTGGGTTTCTTCAATGAGGAAGATATCGGTCCTATTCCTTATGACTATGAAAGCAATCGGATGTACAAGACCTGCAGTGCAGTGACAGGGTGTTCAACCATCCCCACAGTCGGTAATATCAAAATGCTAGAAGACCTGGCACTCAATTGGGCGTTTTCATTTGCTGCCACGTACAACACGCGTAAGTTGTATTTTTTATTTATTTAAAAAAAATTATTTATTTATTATTATTATTTTTTTTTTTTTTTTTTGGGGGGGGGGTGTCTAAAGCCTCTTGTTATCTATAAACCATGGTGATCTGCTGCACAAATGTTTACTTGGTGTGGTTAAGAATATGCCATTATAGGCCTACAAAACAAGTAATGTCTATCCAGCATAAACGTAGATTCCTATATTTTCAGAAATAATCAACTGTTGCTGATAAAAAGCCAAAGATAAGAAAACTACGTTCACTATTTCAGAGTATTGGAAGTTTTCTCTTCCTAGTGCACCCGAGCCGACGTTACCTCCAGGACCAACTGGTCAGATTGGACCAAAGGTAAGAAGAACTAATACCAGCATATTAGATGATTGATTCTACCTTACGGTTACATTAGATACCTGTACCAATGCCAAAGTCCGGGCTTCCTCACGGGGAATCTCAGCTTAAAGTTGATAACAAAATAAACTTTCGTCATTTGAAAAAATAGGGAGAGGTTGGTTCAACGGGAGAGATAGGAGACACGGGTCAAACGGGTCGCAAGGGTGAGGCGGGACCACCAGGAAGTACCGGCCCCCCAGGACCGCAAGGTATTACGGGTCCCCCAGGACCCAAGGGTGACCCAGGTCAAAATGGACCAAGGGGCGACACGGGACTTCCAGGGCCTCAAGGCCCTACTGTGGAGCAAGGCCCACGGGGACCAACGGGTATAACTGGATCCACTGGAGAGACCGGGCCCACTGGACCCAAGGGACAGACAGGAAACACTGGTCCTACAGGAGACTCTAGTACTGGTCCAGAAGGACTGACGGGCCCCCAGGGACAAACCGGATCCAAAGGGGATAGAGGATCAACGGGACAGAGAGGGCTCAAAGGAGACACCGGCCCCCCTGGGTTGACTGGCCCGCCTGGGTTTCCATTTAATGGTATGCTGTTGTGGCAGGGACCAACACTGAGATGAAACCATTTTTTAATACCGTGAAATGAAATTTGATGTGTAATATGCACTTACTAGGTGAATAAATAAACCACTTTTAGTAAGCAAGAGTATTTTAGTAATAAAATGCCACAGGCAAAACCAAGCTGTTTGCGTGGAAACCGAGCTGAAATGTTAGATTGTCTTTGTGAACTGTACAATTAATATTATTATTATTATATTCTTCCTTTCCCCTTCCTCAGAAACCAACGAATGTGCAACGGGCCTTCACGACTGCGACTCAAAGCACGGCATCTGTGTGAACTTGTATTCCGGCTATTTTTGTCTTTGTCAGTCTGGGTACGTGCTCATGTCAGATGGCAAGGCGTGCACAGGTTGGTAGGATTATTATTATTATTATTATTATTATTATTATTATTATTATTATTATCTTTACTTTCTATTAATAGAGCTGCATTCAATATAATTACTGCGTAAATATATTATTGTCCCCATTTTATACTTTGTAGCATTCTGCTGCATTTTTTAAATTTTTTTGGTAGTCTGTCATTTAGCTAACCAAATGCATCTTTACAATAAACGCCCTTTGTTTTACTTTTTACCGTGATTCAGAGGATCGATACTGTAGTAAAAACAATGGAGGTTGCCAGGAACAGTGTTTATCCAGCTCCAATGGTTCCCAGTCATGTGGATGTGTTTCTCCGGGGCTGACTATGGATAAAGACGGGATGTCTTGTATAGGTACATCCAAAACAGTTGACTTATTTTTTTAATGGATGTTTAACAAATATGTACCTCATTCCAGATTTGGGATGTTTAAGGACAGGCATATCAACATAGACTGAGAAGCAACTAAGTCACCAAAATGTTTGGCCTATAGGTTTACCTTTACGTGGCTAAAATTAAATTTCCTGGAATTTTTATCAGTAGTTTTGGATAGGATATCTCTAAAGGTTAATTGCTAATATTCATATGTTTTTTATATATGAAGGTCAGACGCATATTGTTTGCCTCATATCATTTTATGCACCTTCACATTTTCATATTAAAAGGGGGCGGTGGGCGATTCTTTTCATTTGATTCGAATTCGACACCCTGACAGTCGACTGCAGTTGTATTCATAGTCACAATCAATACAATCGGTACAATACAATCGTCACCCTTGTAAATGCATCTTTTAAGTCTTCAGAGTCTTCGTTAAGTTGTCTGAGTAAATGCTTTAATGGCAAAATTTGATGTCTGCCCTTCATGATAGTTAACATTTTTTTATGATTATTCAAATTTGTGGTGCATTTTAGATATAGATGAGTGTGAGCGGGAACCATGTGATACAGATTCCGTCTGCATCAATTCCTACGGCTCGTACGTCTGCCTCAGCTTATTAAAAGATAAAGGTGAAAAACTAAGATACACAAGTTCCAAAGACAATTTTTAAACGTGATTTTTTAAAAATTTCATTAATTCGTGAGGCAGCTGTGCCAAGTTTGTCACATTTGCAAAACATTATCAGAGAAAAATAACCTTGCTCTACCTAGGATAGGACAGTTTTTTCATTTAACATTCTCTAAAATAATCTTAAGATTTATCTATATTTACAGGAAGCAGTATAGCAAGTGGGCAAACGGGAGATGATGGTCTCCCGAATTTACTATCCAACGCTATGATTCTTGCCATGATCATTTGGCTAATAGTCCTGACACTATTATACATAGTTCTGGCTCTCTGTTGTTATACACTGGTCAAAAGAGCCAAGCGTGAGAGAAGAAATTTTGAGAACGCCATGAAAATTCCGAAACTTACTCCAAATTGGTTATTAAAAGCCGGAGCCAGTGAAGAGATTACCTATGACAATGCCCACATCGAGGTTCCTCCGGGGCATATGTGGTTTGGAAGGGACTCCGAGAAACCTTTGGCAGCGGGAAGTAGCGAGCCTCTAGAGTATGACAGGAGACAGAGTCAGGGGCATCCATTGTACAAAACGCCTCCTAAATGACTAAAAGTTTGACAGACATATAGGATGTCATATTTGTGCTAGCAGACTGACAAAGACTAGCCCTTCAATCAATATACGTTCATATTAATTTACAAATGGGTGTTAATGCTTTTGTAAAACCTTTGGAGGTATCGAGTTTTGAGATGAAATGATATTACATAATGTTGCTCCAAAGTGTATTTTCGATTTTTGATAACTTGGTTCAACATCACTAAAATGTAACATTTGAAAAGTATTCTGTTGCTGTCAAACAAAGGGTACTTTACTGGAAAAGTTATACATATGCCATATTTGTTATAAATTTGTATATTTTCGTATGTAAAGTCGTCTGTTTCATTATAGTTCGTTATCCATTGTTTTGTCTCTTTCTAACCTTAAAAGTACGACTAAACAAAACATTGAAGAAACGTCAAGAAAACCATGATGGCTCATCATCAACATTATTTTAGAATGTTACCGTTAAGTGTACAACTAACATTTGCAGAATTATCCGGTGTCTGACATAATAATTTGCCCTAAAATAAACTTCCACGAAAACTTTGCCTTTAGGAAAATTTTTGGATTGGTCTCCTTATCTTATTGTGTCCCGACATGATATACGGCATGGTCGGGTGCCCACCCTTTCATTGATTCATAACACATTTGTCTTCGTGTCCCGTCATCTTTGGTACACCCACCCACACTAGTCTCTTGGCTAGTCTCAAGGCCGTGAGTTATGCATGCAGGAATCTTCAGATTTTATCTGAATCAAAAACTACAATGCTACTGTAAGGTCTGATCATTGTCGTTTTACGCTATTCATTGTGCACATGACTCAAACTGCTGTAAATTTTCACCTTGGCACATTTTTATTCCCACGAACCATGTCAATTATACTGTCCTTATTGGCATTTTACACGGAAATGGATTTTTGTAAAAACAGCACATCTATGTTTGATTTTGTATTGAACAACCGTAAGAACGGTATTCAATTAACTGATAATCGAGTTGTAATCCAAATACATTTTGTACACATCAGACAAGCAAAGAGCCTTCAGTTTTGAAACAAAAGACCAAACAGGTAAAAAAAGTCACAAACACAATAATCTAAGCAATAATTTATAAAAAAAATGTAACTTGGGCCAAATTTGAAATAATGCACTCTCACTCACACTGCCACACATCGGTATTCTCGTCGTGCAAATAGCAAATATAAATATTTCATCAAGAATACTCTACTTTCCCTTCCACTTCAAGAACACATATGATATGTCCAAGTTCTTTTTTAATTTTCTGACGACGAATCCCTCTCCCTCATGCCCATGGGTAAATCCTGAAAACTCCTCTCGTGATGTCTGGGAAGCTGGGAGAACGGGAACCGAATGTAGGACGCACTGGGGTTGGCGTCGATCCATTTTGGTGGATTAGACCTTTTTATTCTACAGCATTCGCAGCAGACGACAAGCAGTACGAGCAGGGTCAGCACAGTCAAGATGATCAGCCAGATAATAAGGCTCATCATTACGGTGTTGTTCAGCAGAGCTGTGTCATAGACCGGTGCTTCTGAACATGAAGATGAAAAAGGATATTATTATTCTCAAAGTGGCCTATAAGCTTTTTTTTTAATTTTCTAAGACCTTTATAAGAATGAGATAGGCACGACAAGTGGATTCAGGATATCAACACGGAAAGCCCCCACCCTACTCCCACCCTGACAGTCAGCTGCGAAAATATTATTTGAAAAAACAACTTTGTAGTCTCATATCAAGTGATGAACGGTATACATATATGGCTTGTGCCTTAACATCTTCCCATTGTTGATTTGTTCTTTATACATGAGAAAAATAAAGCAGATCTTACCTGTTGTTTGTGTTGCCGCTAAAGGCTGCTGTATCTGTTGTGCCTGAGCGGTGAGACTGTCTGCAGTGACAAGAAGCTGCTGTATGTATGCTAGTTGGTTGGTAGTGTCACAGGTAGCGGATCCAGGGGTATTTAGACACAACTCGGAGTCACAACGACCAGCATCCAGCTGACATTCGTCAATGTCTGTGCAGAAAAGAATACAACTTGAGATGCGATCATTTTGGAAAAATATATCATTAAGCGTTACTTTGTATAATAGTCAAGCTAACCCCATTCAAGTTGCTGTGTGTTTTTTAGTCATAATAAAATTTGCTACTTACCTATACATTTTCTCTTGTTTTGTGCCAATTCATACCCAGCCCTGCAAGAGCAGGCAAAAGAACCGATACTGTTCTCACAACTGTGTTGACACCCTCCATTGTCTTTGGAGCATTCATTGATATCTAAAGGAAACAATTATACGATTTGGTTTATTTTTGTAAAAAAAAAAAAAAAAAAAAAAGAACAAGTACTTTGTACAGGTAACATCCACCGATAAGAACCTGCGAAACTGTGGAATGCATGTAGCAGCTGTAACATAACCGAATGAAAATGTCAAGAAATTGGAACAACGCGCACATAAGAAGAAAAAAACGGATAATAGTCCACAGAAAGATAAGGAGAAACTTTTATTGAAAAATTGGCCTTGCCGGGATGAAATGGAAAGATGTGCCACAAGATAATGATTAGATTTCAATGTTTACCATGTTGACACCTGTCACCTGTGAACCCAGACAGGCAGGTACAGAAGAAGGATCTGTAGTCATCAAGGCAGGTTCCTCCGTTCTGGCAGGGGTAAGAGGCACACTGGTCGATGTTGTCTTAAAGAAGGAAAGCAATTACTGACAATCTCCAAATCCATGAAGTACATTGTATACCATACTGTAAATATTGTACCTTAAACCCAAAGGATTTGGTCAACAAAAATTACATCGATAATTTTTGTGAATTTACATTCTGTTCTATATTACTGTCCTTTACCTTCTGTTGTGGGATCCAAGGCTGGCCCCTTTGGCCCTGTGTCCCCAGGGGGTCCCTCTGCACCCATCTGCCCTCTAACCCCCTGCTCGCCCTGGTCTCCTCTTGGACCTTTCAAACCCTGTGGCCCAGGGGGTCCCTGGGCGCCTGGAGGGCCTGCCTCTCCAGATATACCCTTTAAAGCAGTGAATGCGTCTTGTGAGATATTGATAGGGGTACATTTTATGGTGTGTGCTTAACTGTAGGCCCCAGAAGTAACCAAACTTAACTCCTCAGTAAAAACCAGGGGTTATAGCGATATGCAAACACTTTCTATATCTTACCGGTTCACCTGTGTCTCCCCTTACTCCAGTCGCTCCCATGGACCCTTGATTTCCTTGGATTCCTGTGGGGCCATCTCCACCGGTGGCTCCTTGACCTCCTTGCACTCCTGGGTCTCCGTGAGCACCCTGGGATCCCGTAAAACCCTTGTTCCCCTGCACGCCCTGTACCCCCCTGACTCCAGCAGGACCTTGAAGACCGATTGGTCCCTCTGGTCCGGCGAGGCCGGTATCTCCTGTAATACCCTGCAAGGAGATTTCGGGTACGATTAAATGGATAAGTTTGTGACTGCGTTTTTTACATCAAAACCGCTTGATATCTTTGTTGATAGTGTAATATTTAATGAGTATTGTATGATGTTTACATCGGTATCATTATTAAAAACACATAAAATACTGTTTCGTTGTCCCTTTTTTACTTGTTGTAAAGCGAATACATTACCTGTGTTCCCTGGGGCCCTATGTCCCCAACATCACCTGGAGGACCGGGGGGTCCAGCTGGACCTGCAGGACCTTCGTACGTTGCCTGTTGACCCCTTACTAAAATAGATTATCAACATGTTTTTCAAGTCAAAAATATGCGTATGTGAATTGAGATTTCATTTGCGAAGTCAGATGAGATCATTGTTGTAAATTATTTTATTGCAAATATTTGCCTATCAAACTGTAAGTACAGTACAAAGTACATTTACCTGTAATCGCTAGGCAAGAAGCGAATGTCAGAAACAGCAACACTTTACAGTCCATTATTATCTGCAAATAGAAAGGTTTCTGGTGATGTAATATTGCGATGCAAATGCCATTGGGTTAAATTTTGTATTATGAAATATCTATGAATGTTCTGTCAATGATTTCAATATCAAAAAGCAGTGCCCCACAAAATACTCTCAGCTGATGCACCAAGTTTCGGATTGTTTACCATGCTCAGTAAGGTAACAGCTAGAGTGTTCAAGGTAGACTTGTTTGTCAAAAATATCAATAATCTTACTTCATTCTTACATTTAACTACTGGCTATCGTTCACGTACAATGTAAAGCATTATGAAGCATTATAAAGCACCTTGCTTATACTCTATACCTGTACCCCTAACTTTCCTGGACTCACGGGTTCAAACACTCGTACACAGAGCATTCGTGATAACATGATCAACTACGTGTACACGTAACAGCAGACCCTTTGAATTTTGTAAAGAAGAACACTATACGTATTGTGACAATTAAGTTAAAGACAAACATTAAGTTATGGTGCAACAAGAGATTTGACTTCAGTTGTTCCACCATGTTCTAACTCACCCAGCTATGTTAACTTTCTCCTATCCATGGCGCTGAATAAAAGTACCTGCAAAACGACGCTTATAACAAGCCCTCAGTCTCTTTAATTCGAGCGACTCAATTTCAACATGGCGCCTGTGAAAACATTACTTCAATAGTCGTATGGAAAATACAATATTCACATTACGTTGTTTGGACAAATGAAAGAACAAAGGGGGACGGATCTAAAGTGGGAATGAAATGACCCGATTTACATGCACGAATGAAAGGCAACTTCAAGCAATAGCGACATAAAATCGATACAAAAACCAATGCGATTAGAACGTTCACATTTAATCTATTATTGATTTATTTGTAAAATCATACTATGATCATGAATGTGATTTTTTTATATTAACATAACATATGAAAGATGAAAGTTGATAGATAGCAAATATGCAGTTTTTTTCCAGTTGTAAACCTCCTCCCGTGACAAAAAAGGGGGGGGGGGGGGCATAAAGCTCACAGCATGATGGTCCATTTACTCAGTACATGTCCCATATTGCACCATTGATTTTTTAAAAATATAATCAAAACGACTGTAGTGGACTTTTAACATTCTTAATGAATGAGGGATGAATGAAAAGTTTTGAGCCTCAAAGTGTTTGGAGTGGTCTTTTCATCTTTGGTGTTTTGAGAAAGCAACAATTCTCTCTTACGACAAGTCAAATTTTGACTTACTTCGTGCATGGTTTCATAATAAATGGTGTAAGATGTAAGGACAGTGAATGCAAAGACTCATATATTGGGGGGAAAAGACAGCCATGAAGGGCAGAATGTACCAACACAGACGCCCTACCTCAGGTGATACATACGACAGTATTCACCCACCTGCAAAACTTCGGCCATACTTTTGCCACCGAGGACGACATGATTCTCGATAAAAATAGGACTGGTTCAGACAAGAATAACAGAGGCCATTCATAAGCGGGTTGAACAGCAGCCTCAACAAACCTGGTGGTCTTAAGATACCAACTACCTCATCTGTGGGACCGGTGTAACAGGCATGGAAGTCCGGGCACCAATATGATTAGTACAGGTTAGGGTTAGTTAGAGTATTGGGGTTAGTATATGGGACCAATGTCACCTGTACAAAGTAATGGGGAGCAGACTACGGTTCCTAGCGGACTTCCATTCTTATCACACCAGGCCCTGGGAGACATCCGGCGAAGACCGTCACCACATGACTCAGGTGACGACTCAATTCACCTGAAGAAGGCCTTGTGATAAGGTCGAAGCGTCGTGATCTCCGCTTCCAATAAGGTCCAGTTTAAGATTCAATTTTATCATTATGTTTATTCATTGTACTGTCTTTATAGAGAGTCTTCGTAGCAGTCGTGGGCTGTAAATTAGACTAATTTTGAATAATTATTATCATCTAGATTTTACTTTTATAATTTCATTTACCGTCATGCATGGGATACACACATTAATTTTCTGAACTTATAAAAAAGGACGATTCATCATTTAACTGGTGTGAAATTTGGACGAAATTCTGACAGATAAAAAAGGAGAAAATAAAGGTTCTCAATTTAGCTGGTTATTGACATTGCAAATACAGTATAAACCTTCAAATAAAATATGAGCACGTTTACAGATATGTAAATGTTCAATAACCTTGCAAATTGATTTTAATGAAGTCGTCTGCATATGCATACATTACCTTACTTAAGTTAAATCTTGTATTTCGCTAAAATCTCTATATTAAGTCGCCCCATTTCAACTATAAAACCGGGAGGAGAACAAACGAGTTTTTGGATTTTGGAAATAAAGCTGCTGTGTTGTGTTGATTTTTTTCTGATTATAACTGAAGTCGGGATCGTGAGCCAAATTTAGATCATCTTTACAGAGTAGAGCCCTCGAGTAATTGATTACCGTGTCCCGCCTTACAGCAAACAACCCAGTACAATCTTAAGTGTTAGACACATTAATGTACGACTTCGTTTATCACTCTGAACATGAGTTATCCCCGCCTAACTCATGTTTCTTATAGGTCTATATGTAGTAGTTCTAAAATGAGCTATTCAGAAGGTGTGCATTAATCTGTGAGGGGACCGCATCTAAAAGGGAATACTGGTACATATATAATAATTCCATTTACAGAATTTCAAGTCGAAATATTTGGAAAATTAAGCAAAAAGTGGCCACGCTGCATTTAATCCTACGCTATCTAAAAATCGTACACGGTAAAAACAGTGTTGAGCTCCTAAACATAATTCTAAGCGCCTGATTTGTCTCATTTCTTCAATGGGTTTAGCTCCTAAGCATGTTACACTCGTAAAACCTGAATATGTTTGGCAATATGACACGTTTCGGGGAGATGTGAAATTTATTGAATCAGGTCAATACATATCATTAATACAAGATAATAAATTTAGAAGGGAGAGTTCACTTCTTATATACCGCACTACTGATGCGTCTCAGCGCAGTTTTATTTTTGGCCCTGATACAATCTGAGTGTTTACGCTACTGCATGCCGTACGAAGCGCTGAAAACTAGCAAACGAAAATATCTTTCTCTGCCAGACCAGGAACTTTATCCTTGCTTCTAACCTTAGTGCTGGATGTCAAGCACGGCAGGTATCGTTAATGATAATAAAAATGATAATTTTTATAAGCTCTAGCACATTTTTATAAAAGTTTATGACCAAACAAATACATAAGTAGCGTACAGAAATATGTAAAATTTAGTGTACATACTTGAATATAAATGATAATATATAGAAGACTTTAAACAGAATAGAGCTGCATTACATTACAGACTGGCTTAACTATTAATATTAATGCCTAAATTATTACACATTTCTCTCATTTAGAAGGTAATTATTTTGTTATTATTTTGCCATCTCGCTAGATGTTTTACACCCAACCCAATATAGAGGAGCATTTCACATGCTAAAGTGTCAAAAAATAAAATTGAATGAATTGAAAGTTGTATTCAATTTTTTAAATCAAATATGTGTATAGAACAAAAATCCGCTACTGTCTCAATTTAAATTCAAATTTTAATTTTTACCATGTCTTTTACATTACGCAAAGCCCTAAATGGTAAAGTATGTTCCAAAAACGTGCGGTAACGTATGTTCCGAGTCATTTAATTTAAATTTTTTCCAACATATATTTTGTACTGGTTCAGTCATGGTAAATTAGACATGACGTAAGGATGCTTTTATAAACTGTAACTCAAGGTAACTAAGGGGCCTTGCATCATGGCTAATACTAGGTAACGTATGTTCCCTAGAAAAATTATCAAAATGACTACGAGGCCATAATTAACATTGATAGAAATATCTACAACGAATTGGACTTTCTGCCTAACTATTACGAGAATTTCATGACAGCACCTTATATGTCAGCTTACTTGAAAGAGTATAAGGGAGAAAAAGCTTCCTTTTTTGGGCACATGATAGGTTCGAATACAGCATCTGTGGTAACAGTTGCTAGGACCACGCTGTCGTTTAGGCATACTGGAGACATGGGTGGACTAGGAGATTACGCAGCGAGGATGGTACGGCAAAGATGTTCTTTAATTCAAAGAATGCACTACACCCAGAAGATTGCAGTCTTAACTGCCTTAACTGTCCATATATTTATTTACATTGTACTAGTCTACACATGTAAAGTCTACTGAACATTTTATATGGATTTCAGACTATGAATAACTGTCATTATTATTATTATTATTATTATTATTAAAAATAATATAATTATTATAGGCAGAGAGAAAACAGCGTGATAACGTATAGGTATTGGCGAGAAAACGTCTGTTATGCATTGAACAGAATATGTCAAACAGCATTTGTGATTTAAGAAAAGTGTCGTCTTATTCTGTCAATCGAGACAATGTTTTGTGAGCCGATCTATTTTTGACAACTCCTGACTTCGACATCAAAAAAACTCTGCTCTGTTTCCTGATGGAATTGCTGTTTTTGGTTTGGTTTTTATGAAGTTGATCAAAGCAATTCCACAACCATAAAAGCAGAATGTAAAACTTTTTGCATCGTTTGGTAAGATCAGTTAAAAATCCTCCAATACTCCAAGCTTCCTCAGCGCTGTGACCACTTTTTGTTGTCCACGAGGTTTGTACACAAACATAGACTTGTTCGGAAAAGAAAACGAAATCAGCATCGGTTTCTCAAATTTGTCTTTTACATAAGCACCAACGATCACCGTTTTAACACCATTTTAATGTCACAAGTTAGTACTACAAAATCCTCTCAGCGATTTTTCTTAAAAGTCTTTGTTCAGATTTTATCGTTTATAAAGCAAAATAATGCCTTTGTTCAATCAAAATCTGTATTAAGAGGCTCATAACTCCAAGACAAAAGCATTTAAACCAAAACGCTGGCACAAGATTTTAGCTCATACACTTGCGGTCCACTATGCTAATTTTCGTCGTAAAATCTTGTTCAGGGATGAGGTTACGTCTCATACCGGTTGCTAACCCACCTCAAAACAGAAAGGTTACGATTGACGGTTAAAGCTTTGAGACGCCTATGCTTATACATTGCAACGAAAAAATATAAACGCCGATATTTTATATTTTCAGGGGTTTTTCATTGTTTTGAATCGACACAAGGAAAGATGCATTATTGAATAGTTTGATGCAGGAAAAAACTCATTTTCATTATTTGGATGATGATAAAGGGTTACAATATCCTTAAGTGAGAAATGAACGACTGCGTTTATTAATCTGGACATGAGTTATGTAACCTTACAGCTATGTTTATAATATTATGGGTTAATATGAGGTTTGTGTTAAAAGGTGCTAAAAGGAAAATTGTGCAAATACTACATGAAGTGTGACGAGAAAGCAGCTAAACATGCAGAGCAAATACAATAACTTTATTTGCAGATCTTCAAATATAATAAGAAAGTCGCAGTTCTTGGGATATTCAGCACAGAGTGGCAATACTGCAAGAAACCGTGGCAGATTGGTGTTTCGAAGAGCAAACGGTTTAGACTACGAGGGCATTATTAACATTGACGGAAATATCTACAATGGATTGGATTTTCTGCCTCACTATTACGAGCATTTCATGACATCACCTAACATGTCAGCTTACTTGGCAGAGCATGAAGGTGAAAAAGCTTCTTTTTTGGTGGCACACACGATCGATTCGAACACAAC